ACTTGTTGGGTCTTTCCCAAAAAGACTCATGGCTGTATTCGATCAAAAGGGTGCTTCTACTAAATACTGAGCAAAGGGTCTGAATACTTAGGACCATGTGATATTTCAGTTTTTCTTTTTTAATAAATCTGCAAAAATGTCAACAATTCTGTGTTTTTCTGTCAATATGGGGTGCTGTGTGTACATTAATGAGGAAAAAAAATAACTTAAATGATTTTAGCAAATGGCTGCAATATAACAAAGAGTGAAAAATTTAAGGGGGTCTGAATACTTTCCGTACCCACTGTATATTCCATAAACCGATACTTAAGATTTGGAGACCAAATATAACACTATAATGAATTTCTTATATTTGTCATATACACTATATTATATTCTATGTGTTTAATGCATTTACAGACAATGTAATTACATGTAACTGTCATATTACTGTATATTCACTGTTTTAGAGGAGAGTGCCATTGAATGTGTAGCTAATATGAAGTGGGTTTTCATGAACTAAAATCAGAGCTGAAAACAAACATTGGATTAAAAAAAAACACTCCCAATAAATGTCCAAACAGCGATGCTATCAGAACATTTATTGTGAACATATCTTGCCTCATTTACATCTATTTTTGCAGTTGATGTTGATTTGATAGGAATTGTTACTTGTTATTGTCATACCAACTGAGAATTTATTGCAATGACTTTAAATTCAGTTGAGGTATCTGACATATGATGACATAACATTGATCTTTTATATGAAGTCTTTAGAGACATAGACTATAATATGTTGTTTTTATATGTTGTTATTGAGAGACCAACCAGGACAGAGGTTATATGTACAAATCATCCAAGCACCCAATTCCTAGCCATTTCTAATATAGGCTACATTTCATTGACATTGCTAAATATTATTAAACTGGATCCATCTTTGATTGTCAAAAGAATTCCGGGTTCACCTCCCTCCCAGCCAATTAGATTTCAGCATTTTCATCGGTCAGTCGTGGAGGTCTGATTGGTTAAAGCTTTATTTATATAGCACCTTTTAAAACAGTGTTTACAAAGTACTTTACAGAGAGATGCATATGTGCTTTCACAGAAAAGAACAAAATACAAACATAAAAGAGATAAAGTGGGCCTAGTAAAACAATGTACAATAACCAGTTTATATATAGTTTAAATACAACAATAATAAAAATTTAAAAAATCAAGGAAAGGCCCTAAACAAATCTGTTTTGAGACTACTTTTTAAAAGTGCATAATAACTTTTGACAACATTTAATTCAGGTGTGAAAAGAATGAATATCTGCATGAGCATAGAGACACAGTTTGAGAGGAGAGACACGTTTAAAGCGTGCGCACTCTCTCCGGGCGAGAGCAGCGTGCATCTGAGCGCGAGAGTCCGGTTCTGTGCATCTCGCTCGCGCATTATATTTATGTGCTTTCGACATTTGTCATTAAAATAACGCCATAACGGCCGTCCCGGTTAACTTGTGTATAGTGTATTGCCATTTCTGTCATTAGATCCTTCTAAATATTACAATGCACAATGAATATATCATGATAACGTTACCTGTTTGCATTAGTCAGATGAGGCTCGGCTCTATGCGCTCCCAACAAAACTTCCAGGGGGTGAATGCTTAAAAAAAAAGACAAGAAAACTTGAGAAAAAAAAAAGACTTCTAAAGTCTACATCGTGAAATAAATCCGAAAGCTTAGAAAGACCTACAGGCTGCGTTGACGCCAGGTGTCCTCTGTCGCGTCCGGTATTCCAGTCGTGTTCTGACGCCGCCGGTCGCGTTTGTGAACTGTGTGAAGCCTCTGATGGTCATGTGATCCCCCCCCCAGTTTGTGTTGGTATGTTCCACCGAAATATAATAGAGGAGGCGCGTTTGAGATGCACCACAGGACCTAGCGCCGTAGTTGCATCAGCTGTTGTACGTCGCGCACCGTTCTCGTGCAGGCAATTTTTTGAGACCGCGCGATGATACAACAGCGCGAGCCCTCCTGATGACAAAAAGTACGTAATGCGGAAGGTGCGCGGACGGCCGAAATCCACTCTGGCCTTAAAGAGACGGCCGTCAGCTAGTGTGCTGAACCAACGTCATTCATTTTCCAAATATAAGCAGCAGGTTAACCAGAACATTTTCTTCCAAACTAGGGCCTAGAATATCATTATATGCTTAAACATTAAGATTTCTAGAATCTAGGGAATTTTGTGATTCTAATGCACAATAAGAATTGAGAAGCACATTAACCCCCCTCTCTCTCTCTCTCTCTCTCTCTCTCTCAATTCAATTCAATATGTGCTTTATTGGCATGACAATTGTTACAATGTATTGCCAAAGTTTACATTGAATCTAGAACAGATATATATGCAACAAAAACATGCATGTATATACATTTAAAAAGTAGAATAAATTTATGAGGTTCCATTTGTGTCAAAAATGAGTCGACTGCTTTGTGTTTTGTACTATACATTTGTCTTTGTCTACAGTCATTGCCTACTTGTTCAGGTAAATCAGTATATGTAGGTGTGTATGTTGTGTGTTGACGTCGTCTTAATCTGTCGTCCTGCCTGCTTTTTCTCTGTCATTTAATTACTGTCGTCCTTTTCTTCGTTTTGTTCTGTTGTCTTGTTCTGTCGTCCTAACTGTCGTCCTGTTCTGTCGTCGTAACTGTCGTCTTGTTCTGACGACCTAACTGTCGCCTTTTCCTGTCGTCGTAACTGTCGCAAAAAATATGGCCAAAACCACTTTAAAACCAGCTTGGGAGGCCAGCCAAAGCAGTCAATCAGCTTAGGCTGGTTTTAGCTGTTTTTTGTTTTTTTTTCAGTAGGGAGTTGTTAAGCTTTGCTATAGCAAATATAGACAGCTTAAATACACCATAAGTCTTATTGTATAAAAGTTTTCAATGAAAGTCTATGGGATTGTAGGTGGTTTTGATAGTCTGGTTTACGAAATCAGTTAGAAAAGATATAGCAACCCGAGTCAGACCAGTCTGAAGGTGTGACCCGAGTTTGGTGGTTGTAGCTTTAAAAGTCTAGGAGGAGATACATTTTAAAATTTGGTCTCAGAAGAAGCCAACTTAATAATGCTTCCTCCAGTGGAAAAGTCCATCTCCTGTTGTCCTCTCGAAATCCACTGACATATATGTTTAGAGCTGTTTTGGACTGTTTTACTTGTAAAGAGTACTTGATCTGTTCATATTTCTTTACTGATTCGGATGAGACCTTTTTTTTTCTTTTCATAGAAAAAAAGCAATATTACAGACAGAGGACTCGTATTTTAGCCGGAATCAAATGTTTGAAGTTAAAAAAAATGTAATGATGGATTTGTTTATTACAAAAACACAGCTTTTCATTACAAGATGTTAATTGATGTACTGGATTAGTTTTCTTTTCTCAGTGACTTTAATCAGCAGTTTTGTAGGGGATGTAGACTGTGTGGGTTGGATATCCATTTTTAGGAAGGTTTACGTTCTGTTGTTGTGAAAATAAATGATTTCTGTCGTATACACTGTAAAAATGATTTTTTAAAGTTGTAAATAAAAAGACGATTAAGCCCCGTTCACAGCAAGCACGATAACTATAAAGATAGCGATAAAGATATAGTTCTAAAAATCGTTCTCAGTATTAAAGAATAGCATAGTTCGCACCACAACGATAACGATACAGAGGAACGATATGGTTGTGATTACATTCAATATGATTTTTTCCCAGCTGATGAACGATAAAACACTGACAGCCGATCAGAATCCATCCCATCCTGCTGTAACGAGCTCCAGAACTTAAAGCGGCAGAATAAACAGACGATATCGTTCGCTGGTGTGGACACTAATATCGTTATAGTTATCGTTCTTGGTGTGAACGGGGCTAAAGAGTGCATTTCACAAGAAAATACTATTTCAAACTTTAGAGTTTCACATTTAATTCAATGTGATACTTAGCATTTGTATTTTCTTTTTAATTCACTAGCAATTTAGAGTGAATTTGTGAGCCTGCAGCACAAAAGCAGTGTTAAGTCGCTGGGGGATATCTGTAGCAATAGCCAACAATACATTGTATGGGTCACAATTATACATTTCTCTTTTATGCCAAAAATCATTAGGATATTAAGTAAAGACCATGATCCATGAAGATATTTTGTAAATCTCCTACCGTAAATATATCAAAACTTAATGTTTGATTAGTAATATGCATTGCTAAGAACTTCATTTGAACAACTTTAAACATGATTTTCTCAATATTTAGATTTTTTTGCACCCTCAGATTCCAGATTTTCAAATAGTTGTATCTCGGCCAAATATTGTCCTCTCCTAACAAACCATATATCTATGGAAAGATTATTTATAAATAAGTTATGTGTAAATCTCAATTTTGAATTTTGTTTTCTCAGTGTATCTGCACACATACGTGACTTACTGTAGCTGTAATATGATATATTTAATATCAAATATTTCTGCTCTTGTGTCCTGCAGCTGAAGGAGTTTCAACAGAAGACAACCCCATCCGCAGGAAGTGCTGGACCAAAGAAGAAGAGGAAGGTTAAAGCAGGCGATCAGCTGGACGCAGCTGCGGACAGACACTCGCCGGACAATGTGAGTCAGATGCGTAATCGATCCACGTCAGATGCGATGAATGCTCGCTGTCTGCTCTGATGGGATTTGGCTGTCTGCTGTGTTTTGACTGATCAGTTAATGACTCTTTCCCACTGCAGGAAGTAATCCTCGTTTCAGGAACTGTTTGAGGATTTATTCAGTCTTTGCTCGTTGAACTATTTTTCCTCTTCACTATTTTGAGGGCCTGTTTTTGTACAGCGATTGGCTTTTCATTTATAATAATTATTCATGTTTACACATAACAGCCAGTAATTCGACGGTTATTACAGAGAGTCTGATCCAGGGTTATTAACCCTAACTAAAAATAAATCTGTTCAAAACATTAAAACAAAATATATAAATATTCAATGAAATTCTTAAAATAAATTAACTGAACTAACTGAAAAATGCTTATTGAAATTAAAGCACCAAAACTGACTAACTAACTATATTTTTGTATAGGAAACATTTTGTTAATAATAAAGCTGAAATACATAAAAATGTAAACATTTCTAGCTTTGCTTTAGTTGAAGTTGAAACACTAAAATTATTAACTAACTGAAAAAAATTGCACTGTACAGATTCTGTGTACATTGTATAGTTTAATATATTTTTTATAAAAAAATCACTGCTCTATTCTTTTCTCCCTGCCATATTAAGTTTATTGTATTCGCATCATATGTCTTATAAAAGAATATCATGAACTATATTCTATTTTTAATGTGTATGTGCTTAATTCATTGTTGGTTGAGTTTGTTGTTGCACTGAGGGATGATGAACTAAAGAAAAAAATATTTCTCTACATTACATCACATGTAGTATGTTTGTGATGGATCTTGAACCTAGAAAATTAAACCTAAATATTAATATTTAAAAATAACAAAAACTCACAAAAATGATTAAAGCACAATACAAAATGACTAAAATTCAAATGAAAGCATAAAATATCAAATAAGCTAAAAGCTCATTCAAAATACGAATAAATTGTAATTCTAATTGTAATAGTAGGCCTTTATAAATACCAGAAAGGTGTGTTTTCTAGCTGTGTGATTGATCTGAATCAGGCGCTACTAACTCTTCATCTCGTGTTTGCTTTATCACGTTATCACTACTGCTTCCTCCTCTCTCGCGCCTTTTGCTTTATGGTCTGCCTCTCCTTCCTCTGTAGATTGAGAATATTCTCAAAGTTATGGTGTCTGATCTTAGTCTGGCTAATGGAGTGTCTCAGCCTCCATTTGTCAACAGCAGTCAGGTGAGCTGCTCGCTGTCCCTCCTCTTTCTCCTCCGTTTGCTCTTTGATTCGTCATCTGTGTTTCCTCGCATGCTGTGAGATCGTCATCGCTGGAAGAAGTCGGTGTTTGCATCATCTGTTGCAATTTTTAAAGTCAGCATGAAATCACTCATTCATGTTTCCGGGCTTATTGCGAACGATTCATCAGTGCTCTTTATTTGAAAGAAATACAGTAAATGTTTCATATATTCGACTCGCACTGAAAATAATTTTTAGAAACCATTTGCACTCGGAAATTGCAAGTAAATGTAACATCTAATTACAAAGAAATGGCAAATAACACATTGGATTAAAAGACTAAAATAGTATAGTATAGGAACAATAATCTCTGCTTTATTTTGCAACTTCATAAAATCTATTTTTACAGTGCATGCTGTGAATGCTTTTTCATGTTGCATCTTTAACATGCAAAATGAAGTTTCAGGGTCTGAATATATTGGGATTTATTATATATTGAATTGAATGCCTGGAAATGTTTTTTTCACCTTTATATGTATGTACTTAGACTTATAGATTGTTGTGCATCTTTACTGTGAATGTGGTGTGTGTGTGTGTAACCCACGGAGAGTCTAATGTGTCTCTGTCGCTGTATTGCATCAGGATGATGTGGATGCGGTGAACCAGGTCTCGCAGGAGCTGGAGGAGACCAGCGCTGAACCCGTCTCTAATCCTGCTTCTGCTATTAACTCTGATAACCCTGGCCTGCAGGTCTGTCTGTCTCGGTGTTAGTCACCTTAGCTGGCTTTCAGAAGTCTAGGACTGTTTTGAAACACAGCTGTTGTGTGTGTTGTTTGCTCATGTTTTTAATCTGATCCGTGTGTGTCTTTTAATTTGGTGCATTGCCTTGTCAGGTATGTTGTCACATAAGTCTTGTTTTGCATGTCAGGTTTGTGTTTTTCATTCAAATGTTTTTCCAGCAGAAGTACACAGGAGATGCAAACGGCGATGAACATCCTCTGGAAGATAACAGGTGAATTTACTCTTTATTTGAGAACAAGCTACTACAGAAATATCATGCCATGAACGTGACAAGTTTCTCTCTCGTTGAAGAATGACACCGTTACAGCCAATCAGAATGTTTTATTGTTTTATAGAGCGCAGCAGTGACAGCTCAGGTTTTCTGATGCATTGGTTCTGGAAATATTTTACAATTCATATTTCCCAGATGCATTTAAAAAAAAACTTCAATAAAGAGTCTTGAATCTTACCAAAAATCTCTGTGATGAGACATTTTCTATTTTCATGTTCATTCAAGTTTTACTCTGTTCATGCACACTAACTCTACACTGATTCTGTATGTTTGTTATGCTTGTTTAGTTCAGAACTGTAACACCTAATGGTCTGTTCTGATACGCTGAACTCGCATGTTTGTGTTTGCAGGCCGCTGTCGTCCACCGAGAGCCTGAGACAGATTTCCCAGCAGCTCAATGGACTGCTGTCTGAGGCGAGTCACAGCTTCTGCTAGCTTCAGTCTCTGGGTTTGGTTGGATTGGGATGATATGATGTTATATTTTTCCACCCTGCTTGATTACATCAGCAGAAAAGTAATTTCAGAAGTGGATAGACTTCTTAAAATTTCAATAAAAGGTCTAGATTGACAACAAATGAGGCCAAATGCATTTTTTAAGAAATTAAATGACCTGTTTTGATTTCGTCTTGACTTTTAAGAACTAAACTCAACAGGCTCCTCCCAAATAAACCAAATTCTTGAAGAACTTGCATGGCTTGAGTGAATAACAAACATAAATGTATAAACACATTTGCAAGACTTGGAATAGAAGCAGTTTAATTTGTATGCAACACTTGTAAATAACCCAAATATCAACATTTAAACCGTTCCAGAATTAATTGATCAAATGATTCGGGGCAAAGCTTTGAATTCTGATTTTCTTCTTGGGTTTAATGCAGTCAGCAACATACATCAATGGAGACAGCGGTCCGCCGACGGTCAGCGAGAAGGAACTGGAGGTATTTTGATATGTTTTACTATTAATTCACCTGAGCTTTTTTTTTTTTTTTTAAAACCGTTCCAGAATTAATTGATCAAATGATTCGGGGCAAAGCTTTGAATTCTGATTTTCTTCTTGGGTTTAATGCAGTCAGCAACATACATCAATGGAGACAGCGGTCCGCCGATGGTCAGCGAGAAGGAACTGGAGGTATTTTGATATGTTTTACTATTAATTCACCTGAGCTTTTTTTTTCATGTCTACTACACTAGGTTGTGAAGCACAGCTGCTGTCCTTTATGCCGTCTGTGGCCTGGAAAATCAACCCTGGAATTTAAGTTATGGCAAAGCAAGGCTCTGTCATATGAGATCTGATGTAGAGTCATCCGTCCCACGAGAGCTGATCCACACCCAAACACACTACTGCGACCCTGACCCGCTAGAGACGTGTCCTTATATCGCAGGACGGGAGGTTACTCTCCAACAGAATGTGCAGTTTGTTGTCATACCTGTCACTGGTGCAGTGGAACTTGATTTAGTTATCTTGATTTAGTTTGTACATACTTTCACAATGCACAAGTGTGTTTAAACTGTGCCAGAATTGGGACAGATCATTGACTTGAGATTGAGTCCTTTCTGCCTTTCTTCAGTTATTGTATTAAAGGATTGGTTCAGGCAAAAATGATTATTTGCTGACAGTTTACTCACCCGCAGGCCATCCCAGATGCAGATGAGTTTGTTTGTTTCTTCAGGTTTGGAGAAATTGCATCAGTGTCTAACTGCAAGTGAATGGGTGCCGTCAGATTGAGAGCTGATAAAAACATCACAATAATCCACAGCACTCCAGTCCATCAGTGAACATCTGGAGAAGACAAAAGCTGAAACAAATCCAGCATTAAGACGCTTTTAACTAAAATACGAGTCCATAATAACTCTTCCTCCAGTGAAAAAGTGCATCTGCTGTTGTCTCTCACATCAAAATCCAGCCACATATGTGTTCAGAGCTGTTTAAACGCTGCTTGATCTGTGCAGATTTCTCTCCTGATTCACACCAGAACACTGACTCACTGGAGGAAGCGTTATTATGGATTATGGACTCGTAGCGTTATTATTATTATGGATTTGTTTATTACAAAAACACAGCTTTTCATTACAAGATGTTAATTGATGTACTGGATTAGTTTTCTTTTCTCAGTGACTTTAATCAGCAGTTTTGTAGGGGATGTAGACTGTGTGGGTTGGATATCCATTTTTAGGAAGGTTTACGTTCTGTTGTTGTGAAAATAAATGATTTCTGTCGTATACACTGTAAAAATGATTTTTTAAAGTTGTAAATAAAAAGACGATTAAGCCCCGTTCACAGCAAGCACGATAACTATAAAGATAGCGATAAAGATATAGTTCTAAAAATCGTTCTCAGTATTAAAGAATAGCATAGTTCGCACCACAACGATAACGATACAGAGGAACGATATGGTTGTGATTACATTCAATATGATTTTTTCCCAGCTGATGAACGATAAAACACTGACAGCCGATCAGAATCCATCCCATCCTGCTGTAACGAGCTCCAGAACTTAAAGCGGCAGAATAAACAGACGATATCGTTCGCTGGTGTGGACACTAATATCGTTATAGTTATCGTTCTTGGTGTGAACGGGGCTAAAGAGTGCATTTCACAAGAAAATACTATTTCAAACTTTAGAGTTTCACATTTAATTCAATGTGATACTTAGCATTTGTATTTTCTTTTTAATTCACTAGCAATTTAGAGTGAATTTGTGAGCCTGCAGCACAAAAGCAGTGTTAAGTCGCTGGGGGATATCTGTAGCAATAGCCAACAATACATTGTATGGGTCACAATTATACATTTCTCTTTTATGCCAAAAATCATTAGGATATTAAGTAAAGACCATGATCCATGAAGATATTTTGTAAATCTCCTACCGTAAATATATCAAAACTTAATGTTTGATTAGTAATATGCATTGCTAAGAACTTCATTTGAACAACTTTAAACATGATTTTCTCAATATTTAGATTTTTTTGCACCCTCAGATTCCAGATTTTCAAATAGTTGTATCTCGGCCAAATATTGTCCTCTCCTAACAAACCATATATCTATGGAAAGATTATTTATAAATAAGTTATGTGTAAATCTCAATTTTGAATTTTGTTTTCTCAGTGTATCTGCACACATACGTGACTTACTGTAGCTGTAATATGATATATTTAATATCAAATATTTCTGCTCTTGTGTCCTGCAGCTGAAGGAGTTTCAACAGAAGACAACCCCATCCGCAGGAAGTGCTGGACCAAAGAAGAAGAGGAAGGTTAAAGCAGGCGATCAGCTGGACGCAGCTGCGGACAGACACTCGCCGGACAATGTGAGTCAGATGCGTAATCGATCCACGTCAGATGCGATGAATGCTCGCTGTCTGCTCTGATGGGATTTGGCTGTCTGCTGTGTTTTGACTGATCAGTTAATGACTCTTTCCCACTGCAGGAAGTAATCCTCGTTTCAGGAACTGTTTGAGGATTTATTCAGTCTTTGCTCGTTGAACTATTTTTCCTCTTCACTATTTTGAGGGCCTGTTTTTGTACAGCGATTGGCTTTTCATTTATAATAATTATTCATGTTTACACATAACAGCCAGTAATTCGACGGTTATTACAGAGAGTCTGATCCAGGGTTATTAACCCTAACTAAAAATAAATCTGTTCAAAACATTAAAACAAAATATATAAATATTCAATGAAATTCTTAAAATAAATTAACTGAACTAACTGAAAAATGCTTATTGAAATTAAAGCACCAAAACTGACTAACTAACTATATTTTTGTATAGGAAACATTTTGTTAATAATAAAGCTGAAATACATAAAAATTTAAACATTTCTAGCTTTGCTTTAGTTGAAGTTGAAACACTAAAATTATTAACTAACTGAAAAAAATTGCACTGTACAGATTCTGTGTACATTGTATAGTTTAATATATTTTTTATAAAAAAATCACTGCTCTATTCTTTTCTCCCTGCCATATTAAGTTTATTGTATTCGCATCATATGTCTTATAAAAGAATATCATGAACTATATTCTATTTTTAATGTGTATGTGCTTAATTCATTGTTGGTTGAGTTTGTTGTTGCACTGAGGGATGATGAACTAAAGAAAAAAATATTTCTCTACATTACATCACATGTAGTATGTTTGTGATGGATCTTGAACCTAGAAAATTAAACCTAAATATTAATATTTAAAAATAACAAAAACTCACAAAAATGATTAAAGCACAATACAAAATGACTAAAATTCAAATGAAAGCATAAAATATCAAATAAGCTAAAAGCTCATTCAAAATACGAATAAATTGTAATTCTAATTGTAATAGTAGGCCTTTATAAATACCAGAAAGGTGTGTTTTCTAGCTGTGTGATTGATCTGAATCAGGCGCTACTAACTCTTCATCTTGTGTTTGCTTTATCACGTTATCACTACTGCTTCCTCCTCTCTCGCGCCTTTTGCTTTATGGTCTGCCTCTCCTTCCTCTGTAGATTGAGAATATTCTCAAAGTTATGGTGTCTGATCTTAGTCTGGCTAATGGAGTGTCTCAGCCTCCATTTGTCAACAGCAGTCAGGTGAGCTGCTCGCTGTCCCTCCTCTTTCTCCTCCGTTTGCTCTTTGATTCGTCATCTGTGTTTCCTCGCATGCTGTGAGATCGTCATCGCTGGAAGAAGTCGGTGTTTGCATCATCTGTTGCAATTTTTAAAGTCAGCATGAAATCACTCATTCATGTTTCCGGGCTTATTGCGAACGATTCATCAGTGCTCTTTATTTGAAAGAAATACAGTAAATGTTTCATATATTCGACTCGCACTGAAAATAATTTTTAGAAACCATTTGCACTCGGAAATTGCAAGTAAATGTAACATCTAATTACAAAGAAATGGCAAATAACACATTGGATTAAAAGACTAAAATAGTATCGTATAGGAACAATAATCTCTGCTTTATTTTGCAACTTCATAAAATCTATTTTTACAGTGCATGCTGTGAATGCTTTTTCATGTTGCATCTTTAACATGCAAAATGAAGTTTCAGGGTCTGAATATATTGGGATTTATTATATATTGAATTGAATGCCTGGAAATGTTTTTTTCACCTTTATATGTATGTACTTAGACTTATAGATTGTTGTGCATCTTTACTGTGAATGTGGTGTGTGTGTGTGTAACCCACGGAGAGTCTAATGTGTCTCTGTCGCTGTATTGCATCAGGATGATGTGGATGCGGTGAACCAGGTCTCGCAGGAGCTGGAGGAGACCAGCGCTGAACCCGTCTCTAATCCTGCTTCTGCTATTAACTCTGATAACCCTGGCCTGCAGGTCTGTCTGTCTCGGTGTTAGTCACCTTAGCTGGCTTTCAGAAGTCTAGGACTGTTTTGAAACACAGCTGTTGTGTGTGTTGTTTGCTCATGTTTTTAATCTGATCCGTGTGTGTCTTTTAATTTGGTGCATTGCCTTGTCAGGTATGTTGTCACATAAGTCTTGTTTTGCATGTCAGGTTTGTGTTTTTCATTCAAATGTTTTTCCAGCAGAAGTACACAGGAGATGCAAACGGCGATGAACATCCTCTGGAAGATAACAGGTGAATTTACTCTTTATTTGAGAACAAGCTACTACAGAAATATCATGCCATGAACGTGACAAGTTTCTCTCTCGTTGAAGAATGACACCGTTACAGCCAATCAGAATGTTTTATTGTTTTATAGAGCGCAGCAGTGACAGCTCAGGTTTTCTGATGCATTGGTTCTGGAAATATTTTACAATTCATATTTCCCAGATGCATTTAAAAAAAAACTTCAATAAAGAGTCTTGAATCTTACCAAAAATCTCTGTGATGAGACATTTTCTATTTTCATGTTCATTCAAGTTTTACTCTGTTCATGCACACTAACTCTACACTGATTCTGTATGTTTGTTATGCTTGTTTAGTTCAGAACTGTAACACCTAATGGTCTGTTCTGATACGCTGAACTCGCATGTTTGTGTTTGCAGGCCGCTGTCGTCCACCGAGAGCCTGAGACAGATTTCCCAGCAGCTCAATGGACTGCTGTCTGAGGCGAGTCACAGCTTCTGCTAGCTTCAGTCTCTGGGTTTGGTTGGATTGGGATGATATGATGTTATATTTTTCCACCCTGCTTGATTACATCAGCAGAAAAGTAATTTCAGAAGTGGATAGACTTCTTAAAATTTCAATAAAAGGTCTAGATTGACAACAAATGAGGCCAAATGCATTTTTTAAGAAATTAAATGACCTGTTTTCTTGACTTTTTGACTTTTAAGAACTAAACTCAACAGGCTCCTCCCAAATAAACCAAATTCTTGAAGAACTTGCATGGCTTAACAAACATACAAACATAAATGTATAAACACATTTGCAAGACTTGGAATAGAAGCAGTTTAATTTGTATGCAACACTTGTAAATAACCCAAATATCAACATTTAAACCGTTCCAGAATTAATTGATCAAATGATTCGGGGCAAAGCTTTGAATTCTGATTTTCTTCTTGGGTTTAATGCAGTCAGCAACATACATCAATGGAGACAGCGGTCCGCCGATGGTCAGCGAGAAGGAACTGGAGGTATTTTGATATGTTTTACTATTAATTCACCTGAGCTTTTTTTTTTTTTTTTTAAAGTAGATGTGCAAAACTGTACAGTAAGGTAATTTATTTTAGTCTAGCAGTTTATAATTACCACTCTGAACGGTCACTAGCAGGATAGTCTTATTGAAGCACGAGTTCTTATGATGGAAATAGCTTGTAGTCTGTAGGGGTTACAGCATTGGCTGATGCTGATTAGTCACTTGATATAATTTTCACAATCGATTGATTCCCTCATGGTTTACAGACCAAATCAAGAACAATTTAATCTATTTCTGCTAAATATAAAGTATTTAAAAAGACCTGAAACCGTTTTCCTCTTATCTGTGCTGTGTGCTTTTCTAATCTATATCTTAATTGGTATAATTGGTTATGTATCTGTCAGTATGTGCGTTATCGCGGTGTGTCCTGTAGGACTAGTTCTGGCATTTGATCCCATGATCTCCTGCTACACACTGAACAAACATCCTGATTCAGCGTCACACACACGTCTGTAACAGGCTGCATGGCAGAACGAGGCTCTGTTTATAAGTTAAAGTTTCACTGGCTTCATCCGCATAGAAGCCTGAGTGTCTGTAGATAGCAGTCATGCTTTACTTTTAATGTTTTTGAAAAACGTCTCTTCTGCTCACTAAGGTTGCATTTATTTGATAACAGTGTTAAGTCGCTGGGGGATATTTGTAGCAATAGCCAACAATACATTGTATGGGTCACAATTATCCATTTTTCTTTTATGCCAAAAATCATTAGGATATTAAGTAAAGATCATGTTCCATGAAGATATTTTGTACATTTCCTACCATAGATATATTAAAAGGTAATTTTTTGCTTAGCAATATGCATTGCTAAGAACTTCATTTGGACAACTTTAAAGGTGATTTTCTCAATATTTAGATTTTTTTGCACCCTCAGATTCCAGATTTTCAAATATTGTCCTATCCTAACAAACCATACATCAATGGAAAGCTTATTTATTCAGATTTTTAAAAATGGACCCTTATGACTGGTTTTGTGGTCCAGAGTCACATATGAGTGTATGTTATATGAATATGGTCTGTGTCAGTAATGTGAGCGAGGAGTCCAGACAGCAGAGCTCAGAGCTGTCCGAGCATCTCAAGCTGAGAGTAAATGAGAACAACGGCTTGAAGCAGGAGGTTGATGAGCTCCGTAAGCGGCTGGAGATGGCCGACAGCATGCTGCAGCAGGTGAGGAGACGCTTTAAACATTTACTGTGCTCATGATAGTATTCCTGTGATGTGAAATCCCTCTTCACATCGCTCCTGCAGTTCTCCAGTCAGACGGGTTCTCCGTCTGAGCACCAGCAGGTCCAGCTCCTGCTGGAAGAAAAGCACCAGATAGAAGCTCACACGGCTCAGGTGTGTGCTGCTGTAATTTGGGGCATGTTTGTGTCTGTGTTAGTCCTGAATGTCATCCTGAGTGTCTGAGTATGTGTGTGCAGCTGATGGAGTCGGTGGCTCAGCTGCAGGTGGAGAGAGATCAGTACGCTGTACAGATACAGGAGGAGGGACACGCGTGGAAGGACAAAACAGAACAGCTTCTGTCTCAGGTAAACAAACACACTCGCATACAATATTGCAAAAAAAAAATTTTTGCAATATATAAATACACTACCGGTCAAAAGTATGGGATCAGTAAGGCTTGTAATGTTTTTAAAGAAGTGTCTTCTGCTCATCAAGGCTGCATTTATTTGATCAAAAATACAGAAAAAAACTGTAATCTTGCAAAATGTTATTACAATATAAAATAATGGTTTCTATTTGAATATCCTTTAAAATATAATTTATTTCTGTGATGCAAAGCTGAATTTCCATCATCATTACTCCAGTATAAAGATCACATGATCTTCAGAAATCATATGCTGATTTATTATTAGAATTATCAACAGTTTTTTAGGAAACTGATACTTTTTCAGGATTCTTTGATGAATAAAAAGTTAAAAAGAACAGCATTTATTCAAAATATAAATCTTTTCTAACAATATAAATCTTTGCTATCACTTCTTATCAGTTTAACACATCCTCGCTGAATAAAAGTTTTCATTTCTTTCAGAAAAAGAAAGAATAAAAATGTACCGACCCCAAACACGCTAGTGTATATTGTTAGAAAAGATTTCTATTTCACAGCTTCCAAAAAAATATGAAGCATCACAACTGATAATAATCAGCATATTATACTGATTTCTGAAGATCATGTGACACTGAAGACTGGAGTAATGATGCTGAAAATACAGCTGCGCATCACAGAAATACATTACAGTTTAATGTATATTAAAATAGAAAAACGTTATTTTACATCATAATAATATTTCACAATATTACATTTTTTTCCTGTATTTTTGATCAATTAAATGCAGCCTTGATGAGCAGAAGAGACTCCTGTAAAAACATTAAAAATCGTTCTGATCCCAAACTTCTGACCGGGAGTGTAAATATTGCAATGTGAAAACAGATCAAATGGCTTAAATAGTTTGTAATATTTGGGAAAGTATTAATACTCCTAAAATGATTAGGGGGTGATTTTACAGGGGAGTAAATTTGCATAGAAAATAAAATAAATAAAATAAATTGAGTGCAAACAATCCTTTTAGGGCTGAACAATTTGGAAAAAATATAAATGTAATTTTTCTGATTGTGATTTGAACCAGGGTTATTATAGTTAACTAAATCTAAAACCATTACTTGAAATTACATTAAACTTCAACTGAAATAAAATCCTTGAATTTATTTGATTTCAGCTACTACAAAATAAAATTGATAAATATTTTTAAAAAATTATAAAAATGACTGCAAAAATTACAATTAAAACAGGAAAAATTAAAATTAAAACTAATAAAAATAAAATCTAATTCAGAATATTAATAAAAACTTTAATAGTATCTCACTGATTAAAAAATGACCAGACATTTGAACGGTGATATGATAAACATTTAACATCTCATATTGCTGCTGCTTCGACATCCAGACACAAAAAGGCACAAATAAGGGTGTTTTTAAGGGTGTTCGAATTTTGGGTTCACTCTTTACAAGAACAAATTCAAACCTGTTTCAGTAACAATAAAGTAAAGATATAGGCCACATTTCCACTGTTTTTGACCCTTTTAATATGGCTTTAAGATAATAACAATAAAAATAATTATAATTATGATTTCTATTGTGATTTTATTATTATTAGTATTAGTATTATCAAAATATTAAAATAAGAAATATTTATTTTGTAATGTGCTGTAAAATTAAATATTGAGTATAGTAATAACTTTATTTTACTGTACGAGTATGTAGTTTGTTTATTCTGAGTGTGTGTCTGTGTGTCTGTCTGTGTGTGTGTGTGTGTGTGTGTGTGTGTCTGTGTGTCTGTGTGTGTGTGTCTGTGTCTGTGTCTGTGTGTGTGTGTGTGTGTGTCTGTGTGTCTGTGTGTGTGTGTCTGTGTCTGTGTCTGTGTGTGTGTGTGTGTGTGTCTGTGTGTCTGTGTGTGTGTGTCTGTGTCTGTGT